CTTTTAAGTCTATCATAAACTCAGGTGTTAGTTAATGTTGAGGATTTGATAGCTGGATTTGATTTCACAATGGACTTTAGTAGATTTAGAAGGATTTCTAACATGGGAGGGCAAATTAACCGAAGCAACTCAACTCAACTCGAACCGATCCAAACTAGTGGTTGAGTTTAGTTTTCACCCGAATGGTTTAAAACCGATCCAAGATATTGTCGGAATAATTATTTTATGTGAAAAGCAATGACTGTTAAGTGTCACGTAGTAACTAAAGTAAATTATGAATATCATGAGAAGAGGAAACGACTTCGGTGACCATCTCACGATCTTTCATCTCAGAGAATTTTTTTTCATATTAAAATGTCATAAAAACATCTTCCAAAAACCTTTTTAATGTTGACCATTAACTCAGTCGTAAAAAATATTAAAAGCGGATATAGACATAATGCAACCTTGCCAAATATAAATTATCATTTACTTCAAACATATAAATGAAATACTCAGCCTGAGTAACTCAGGATGTTACAATATGTTTTTATCCGTCAAAGCAAGTGTAACGTGCGATAAGATAATTTGTAACCACGCATGATTGTCATTATCCCATTTCACATACCGCGCTTAAATGGTGAAACGAATCAGCTCGACTTTAAACTTAATAACCCGATCGTTCATGAACTTTTATAAACTTGATAACACCATCACCATGTGATTGAACTTAAATCCAAACACTTTTACAGAAAACGAAAAACATAAAATAAAACTCCATTATTATAGATTAAAATATTATTTGAGACGATAAGATAAATATCATCGACCATATTACATATACAGTAAATGTTGGAACCGTGATTTTGAATCAATTGGGCCATTGAGTAGGCTTGTTGTTTTGTCAAAATGGGTTCTAAAATGTGAATGAGAAAAGCCTCTTGGTTGTTAAGTGAGTGACACTTAAAAAGTCCAACATCTAAAGTTTGGGAGTTTTTCATAGTGTATATATATGGTCACTCATGTGTCTATGTTCAAAACATAACACATCTATGGACCAAGTGTGAGAGGAGGAAAACTCTACATGCGCGCCGAGCCGAGCCGAGCC